CATACACACACGATATGTACGTTATTTGTGTCTCTAGCCTTACCACTACGACCAAAACGACAGAAATATAATATACATAACATATATATAAAGTGTAAAATAATAAAAGTTGGGCGATATGGAATCCAAAGGTCGAAGAGAGGGTATTGTAATCGTGTTGTCAGTGTGTAGGTCTATCTGTCATTGGTGGATTCCGATGAAACTTCTGTACGTGGATTGGTTGTACTTTCCTGGGACCCAAGTGACTAAAGGAAGCAACATTTAGTCCAGGTTTTGAGTCTTTCACAAATAGAATAATCATATTTACCTATTTGAATTATTAAGTTTTATCTTACTTTATATGCTGTACTAAAACACTTATATAGTCTAGAGTACTTATATTTTTTTTTTATACAGGAGTTATGTATCGTAATAACACCTTTGGGAAACTATTTATGCATCGCGTGTATAGTTAGTCATTTGAATTGACTTTCGCTCCAATAAGCTGTTTATATAACCCCTAAATATGTCATGACGTTACTTGAGCCGTATGTTCTTATTTTCGGTAGGGAAGTATTATCTCTTTGGTGTTAACAGGATCAAGGAGTGACGCATTATGAAGGACGGATGATGGAAGGAGGGATAAATGCATGGCTTTGAGGCCGGACACCGTGAAATAGTGTGTGGTGGTCTGAAGTTGGATCAGGACCGTCATATCTAGGCACTTGTCAGTCTTAACGGTTTTCACTGTCTACACACACACATCAAGGGACTCTATAAACATCAAGGTATTTTATGAACGAAAACGTAAAGAGATTCTGTAAGTAAAAACATCAAGGATTCTATAAACACAAACATCAAGGGACTTTATAAACAACTGTCCACATATACATAACAGGAACACCACGAACAGTAAGACAAAGCCCCAGGTCCTCACACTGACACAGGCTCAGCTTACCTTCCACCTAAACACGGAATTATCATTAAGGTCAATTATCTCGGATTCTTCAAAAGCTTCGTATGACATTTTTGGGGTATTTTTTCCTCCTTCCTGTAACTAAGAAAATGCATCGAATTACAACCAAGTTACAGAATAATATCGAAGCCATAATTGATGTTGTAGTTTAAAGTGAAACCCAGTAGGGGGAGAGGGTGAGGGTCAGGAGTCTTACAAGATTCACCACTAACGACACGTGTACGGTGGCGGGGATCAGCTGATGCCTCCTACCGCCTGCCTCCCCGTCTCCTAGCAACCAGATATAAGAACACAACAACATCCTCGGTGTGTGTGGGGTGTATAGAGATAGATAGGTCGATTGACTGACTGACTGACTGACTGACTGATAGATAGATAGATAGACAGGTAGATAGATAAGTAATAGATATGCTATGTTTATCTGCCTTTGTATTTCTCATATGATCATGTGTATTATGTGCATTGATTAGAGTGTGTGTGTGTGTGTGTGTGTGTGTGTGTGTGTGTGTGTGTGTGTGTGTGTGTGTGTGTGTGTGTGTGTGTGTGTGTGAAAAGAGGGAGAATGAGACAAGCCAAAAAAAGGGACCGACAGGCAGAGAAAAGTAAAAAAGAAGGAACGAAAGAAAATGCAAGAAAGAAGAAAAGAAAGAAAGTGAAAGATGGAAGAAATGAAGAGAGAGAGAGAGAGAGAGAGAGAGAGAGAGAGAGAGAGAGAGGGGGATGATCCAGGTCTTCAGAGGGTGGTGGTGGTGGTGGTGGTGGTTCCAGCCCGGTAGAGAGTGTAAACAAAGAGCACGTGGCCTGCACATGCGTAGCGGCGTCCCCAAAGGTGGTCATGTCGAGTCAGGTCAACTTACACGTCTCAAGGGTTATATTAGGTCAACTTACACGTCTCAAGGGTTATATTAGGTCAACTTACACGCCTCAGGGGTTATATTAGGTCATGTTACGTCTCAAGGGTTATATTAGGTCAACTTATACGCCTCGCGGGTTATATTAGGTCATCTTATACGCCCAGGGTCATGTTAGGTCATCTTAAACGCATCCAAGGTCATGTTAGGTCATCTTATACGCCTCCAAGGTCATGTTAGGTCATCTTATACGCCTCCAAGGTCATGTTAGGTCATCTTAAACGCCTCCAAGGTCATGTTAGGTCATCTTAAACGGTGTGTGTGTGTGTGTGTGTGTGTGTGTGTGATGCTAGGAGAGAAGGGGGGAGCTGAGGACTTAGGAGACTATTTTTGAGGTTTGGAGTTTGGAGTTGGTAGTAGTGGTGGTAGTAGTGGTACCTATGGTAGTGGTGGTCGTAGTGGTAGTAGTGGTACTCATGGTAGTGGTAATGGTAGTGGTAGTCATGGTAGTGGTAGTGGTAGTACTGGTAGTAGTGTAGTACTGTTCATGGTGATAGTGGTAGTAGTGGTGGTACTGGTAATAGTGGTGGTACTGGTGGTACTGGTGGTAGTGGTAGTACTGGTAGTAGTGGTAGTACTGGTAGTAGTGGTAGAACTGGTAGTAGTAGTGGTGGTACTGGTAGTAGTGGTAGTACTGTTAATGGTAGTGGGTGGTACTGGTAGTAGTGGTAGTACTGTTAATGGTAGTAGTGGTAGTAGTGTTAATGGTGGTAGTGGTGGTAGGGGAGCATATTATCGCTGGTGGCATAAACAAATGTCAGTGTACTGGTGTAAACTGACACCATCTACACCCACTTCGTCACCACCTCCTCCTACTCTTCTCCTCCTCCTTCCTCTGTCCTCTCTTCTTCCTCCTCCTCCTCCTCCTCCTCCTCCCAGCCACCTGTGTTCACCCCTCAACACCACTATCTCATTACACACTCTATATCCGCTGTCTCTATGTATGTATGTATGTATGTATGTATGTATGTATGTATGTATGTATGTATGTATGTATGTATGTATGTATGTATGTATGTATGTAACCATATGTTTTTATGCTAAGTTGGAATGGTTGAATAATTTCAACTTAAGTCTCTCTCTCTCTCTCTCTCTCTAGGTGAACGAGAATTTGAGAGAGAGAGAGAGAGAGAGAGAGAGAGAGAGAGAGAGAGAGAGATCAAAACACACATAGATTAAAAACATAAAACTACCAAGGTGTAAATCATAACATACATACACATAATGACAAGGTATGACCCTGTTAATTACAATACTGTGGTACACCTGTAATTACGAGGCTGTGATTCCAGGTACACATTGTAGGTATGGCTCTGGAGGGGAGGGAAGGAAGGAGGGGGGTGGAGGGGAGGGGGTGGAGGGGGATGGAGGGAGGGGGGGTGGAGGGGGATGGAGGGAGGGGGGGGGAGGGGAGGGGGGAGGGGGATGGAGGGAGGGGAAAGATTAATTTGATTAGAAGATTGTAAAATTATGTTGAGTGATGATTAGGTGATGTTGAGGACGAGAAGTATACATACACTCTGGAGTATGAGGTCCAGTATGTGTATGTATGTATGTATGTATGTATGTATGTATGTATGTATGTATGTATGTATGTGTGTGTATGTATGTATGTATGTATGTATGTATGTATGTATGTATGTATGTATGTATGTATGTAAGATATAACAATTCCCAAATATAAACATGAAATTTCCATTATTACTATTACTTAAAACAATTACACGAACACACACACACACACACACACACACACACACACACACACTATAACCCTAATTAATAACAGAGTAATTATATATTCACGTAATTAGACCGTAATACATAACATTACGCATTAGTTTACATGTACTGTACTAAGGGAAGACCACAGGCAATGTACATATATGTAATTTCTATGTAACCAAGAATACATTACAGTAATTAATACACCCAGGGAGAGACGTTATGTTATGCTGTATTGTTACTGTAATTATATATTTTTATTTCAATGTCTTTATTTATGTGGGGTTGGGGGTGGGGTGGGGTGGGGGGTATAATTAGATAATTGATTGATGATTGTGTTGTGTCATAGTTATAGAGGGTGTTATTAATTAATTAGGTGATTAGATGATTAAGGTAGGTGTGTGTGTGTGTGTGTGTGTGTGTGTGTGTGTGTGTGTTGTGTGTGTGTGTGTGTGTGTGTGTGTGTGTGAAAAGTTGGGTTTGCTTGATGATTTTGTTGGCAGACAGACAGACAGACAGACAGACACATAAACAGACAGCAGAAGACAGACAGACACATAAACAGACAGACAGACAGACAGACACACATATATATACATACAGACAGCCACAGACAGAGAGACAGACAGACAGACAGACAGACACTCAGTACCTGTGATTTCTATATTAGTGAAAGTTGATGTAAATTATCATTGATGTCTTTAATTGATGACCCAGTAGTAATGGCTTGGTGCGTGTTATTAGAACTGCTGATTGGCCAGTCTTCTGATGGTGATTTGTGATATTTGAAGATGATTGGCCAGTCTTCTGATGGTGGTGATTATAAATGTTGTGGGTGATTGATGATAACGATAAGATAAAGTCATATATCTATTTATCGATTCGGATGATTAGCCAATTAACTGATTGAGTGATTCGGTGATTGATTGATCAGCTAATTACTTATTAATTGTCTGAGTGAATAACTTAAACACTAAGAGAATATTTTTATATTGGAAAGGGAGTCGATTTCTCTCTCTCCTTCCTTCCATCTCAATTTTCATTTATTACACTTTCTTCCTGTTGCTGTCGGCGTTATTCTTACTAATGACCATTCGTCCCGGGTCACTGCAGGCGCGCGGACCTGTGGGGCGTGTGGGGGAGGGAGGGGGAGAGATTTGTGGGAAAGTAGGGGAGTTGGAAGAAGTAGGGGAGTTTAGGGAAAAAATATAAGGGAGTTTTAGGAAGTTTAGGGAAGAAATTGGTGGAGGGAAGAGGGCGCAGTGAGGGTGGGTGGGACAGAAGAGGAAAGGGAGGAGGAGGAGGAAGAAGAGAAGGAACAGAGAAGAGGAAATGGAACGGAAACAAGAGAATGGAAAAGATCATTCAACTTAGACTATTAAGATTCGTAAACTAAATCGATTCTACAGGGCGTCTCTCCGTCACATCACAACCTCCGTCACATCACAACCTCCGTCACATCACAACCCGTCACATCTCAACTCCGTCACATCACAACCTGTCACATCTCAACTCCGTCACATCTCAACCTCCGTCATCTCAACCTCCGTCACATCACAACTCCGTCACATCACAACCTCCGTCACACCACAACCTCCGTCACATCTCAACCTCCGTCACACCACAACCTCCGTCACATCACAACCTCCGTCCATCACAACCTCCGTCACATCACAACCTCCGTCACATACAACCTCCGTCCATCACAACCTCGTCACACACAACCTCCGTCACATCTCAACCTCCGTCACACACAATCCGTCACACACAACTCCGTCACACCACAACCTCCGTCACATCTCAACCTCCGTCACATCACAACCTCCGTCACATCACAACCTCCGTCACATCACAACCTCCGTCACACCCACAACCTCGTCACACCACACAACCTCCGTCACACCACAACCTCCGTCATATCTCAACCCGTCACATCACAACCTCCGTCACATCACACAACCTGTCACATCTCAACTCTGTCCATCTCAACCTCCGTCACATCTCAACCTCCGTCACATCTCAACCTCCGTCACATCTCAACCTCCACACATATCTCAACCTCCGTCACATCTCAACCTCCGTCACATCTCAACCTCTCTGTCACATCACAACCCTCCGTCACATCTCAACCTCCGTCACATCTCAACCTCCGTCACATCTCAACCCCCGTCACATCACAACCTCCGTCACATCACAACCTCCGTCACATCTCAACCTCCGTCACATCACAACCTCCGTCACATCTCAACCTCCGTCACATCACAACCTCCGTCACATCACAACCTCCGTCATCTCAACCTCCATCACATCTCAACCTCCGTCACATCACAACCTCCGTCACATCTCAACCTCCGTCCACACAACCTCCGTCATCACAACCTCCGTCACCCAACCTCCGTCATCACAACCTCCGTCACATCTCAACCTCCGTCACATCACAACCTCCGTCATCACAACCTCCGTCACATCTCAACCTCCGTCACATCTCAACCTCCGTCATCACAACCTCCGTCACATCTCAACCTCCGTCACATCCAACCTCCGTCACATCACAACCTCCGTCACATCTCAACCTCCGTCACATATCAACCTCCGTCACATCACAACCTCCGTCACATCTCAACCTCCGTCATCTCAACCTCCGTCACATCACAACCTCCGTCACATCTCAACCTCCGTCACATCACAACCTCCGTCACATCACAACCTCCGTCACATCTCAACCTCCGTCACATCACAACCTCCGTCACATCTCAACCTCCATCACATCACAACCTCCCCTCAACCTCTGTCACACACCCATCACAACTCCGTCATCCACCTCGTCATCTCAACCTCCGTCACATCACAACCTCCCATCTCAACCTCCGTCACTCAACCCCGTCACATCTCAACCTCCGTCACATACAGCCTCCGTCACATCACAACCTCCGTCACATCTCACCTCATCATCTCAACCTCCGTCACATCCCAACCTCCGTCACATCTCAACCTCAATCACAACCTCCTCTTTATTAGTCACTTTATCCCAGTCACTGTACAGTACACACACCATGTCTTAACTCTACTGCCCATCTCTCCCCTCTCCCCTCTCCCTTCACCCATCTCCCCTCTTCTCTCTCCCCTCTCTTCTCCCTACACTCATCCCTCTTCTCCCCTCTCCCCATCTTTCACTCCCCTCTTCTCTCTCCCCTCTCTTCTCCCTACACCCATTCCTCCTCTTCCCTCTCCCCTCTCCCCATCTTTCACTCCCTTCTTCACTCTTCCCGTCTTTCCCTCCCGTCTCTTCTCCCTTCACCCCTCACCCCGTCTTTCCCTCACCCCTCCCCAGCGTGTCGACGGGGGAGACTCTGTTAATTGTGATATTGTTGTAGGCGGCGCCCTGCCGTGTGATCTGTAAACTGCCTCCCCTTGACTGACAGCCACCCGGGGAGGCTACGTGGGAGTCTAGCCCGGGGGGAGGGAGGTTAGTCAAAGGGGAGGGAGTCTAGAGGGAGAGAGAGTCTTTGGGGAAGGGAGGTTAGTCAAAGGGGAGGGAGTCTAGAGGGAGAGAGAGTCTTTGGGGAAGGGAGGTTAATCAAGAGGGAGGGAGTCTCTGTGGGGAAGGGAAGTTAGTCAAGGGAGAAGAAATCTAGAGGGAGAGCGAGAGTCTAGGGGGAAGGGAGTTTATCAAGGAGGAGGGAGTTTACCACCCATAAGGAGGAAGGAGTCTAAGGAGAGGGAGTCTAACCGCTTGTAACACCTGGATTAGTCTCAGGTGAGTCACTTTACCCGAGTCATGAGTAACAGTGACGGTGGCGCGGTACTTCTCACCCTCCTCCGTCCGTCCGTCCGTCCATCCGTCCGTCCGTCCGTCCGTCCGTCCGTCTGTCTGTTAGTTTGTCTACGTTCCTCCCTCTTTCTTTATCTTAACCTTCATTATTTCCCTCCCTCATTCCGTCTTTCTTCTTCGTCTTCTTTATTTTCTCTCTCTCTCTCTCTCTAGGCAACTGTGTGTGTGTGTGTGTGTGTGCATAAGAAAAAGATAGCCGAGAACGTTAATACGAGCGTACTTTACTTACATACGTACACACATACATACATAGCTGTTCACTATTGTCCTCGGCTGTTCACTGCTGTCCTACGTGTTACACTACTGCTGTTCACTGCTGGCTGGCTGGCTGTCTCGCTGGCTGTCAGTTCCCCACAGCTACATATCGACAGGTCCGCCTCTCACACACACAAAAGCTCGCAGACCACTTACCCGCCATGGCTCTCTCTCTCTCTCTCTCTCTCTCTCTCTCTCTCTCTCTCTCTCTCTCACTGTAGAAAACATATCCAAGTACGTTTATGTAGTGTATGATACAGCTAGGATGATACAGTATTATACCAAAATGTGTATTAATCAGTTTATGAAATTAATGAACGTATGGTAAGGCACTTATTAGGAAGAGGTGATAGCAGTAGTAGTAGTAGTAGTATAGTAGTAGTAGTAGTATAGTAGTAGTAGTATAGTAGTAGTAGTAGTAGTAGTAGTAGTAGTAGTAATAGTAGTACTCTCCTTGTTGCCATATAATGAATCAACACAGCTTTAGTACAGGAGACGAAACAGCTCATAAGAAGGTGTCATGATACTGTACTATAACACACCTGGAATATACGGTAAACAAACTACTAGTAATGTTAATTGTTTATTTTGATTATATTACTTATTATTTATTGATGTTTATTTTGATTATATTTTTATTTATTGATTACTTATTATTTATTGATTTGGTTAGTTACGTTTATAAGGAGTTATAGGACGTTACTTCGAGGTCTTTTGTTGAGTAATTAACACCTGCAGGTTACAGACAGGTACAGTACAGGTGAGAGTGATTCTACCTCTTTTTCTATCTTTCTCCCTTTCTTTCTGTCTCCTTTTCTCATTTTACCTTTCTTTATCATTCTCCCTTTCTTCTTTTCTCTTCTTTGTCTATCTTCCTTTCTCTCTGCTTCTTCTCTTCTCTTTCTTTTTTCATTTCTCACCCTCTCTATCCCTTCCATCGTTTATCTCCCTTCACTCCATTTCTCTGTCTTTCTCTTCCTGTCTCCCTTAACTTTTCTGTTTTAAGGGAGAGAGAGAGAGAGAGAGAGAGAGAGAGAGAGAGAGAGAGACGGGGATGGGGTTATGTTATGGGAGGGGGTGACCCGTACTTCCCTTGCCCTTGCCCACTGCATCAGTTCGAGAGTAGAGGAGAGGGAGGAAGAGGGGAGGAAGGAGGGAGGGAGGGAGGGAACTGGGTTTAGCATTAGTGAATTATTGATGTTAATACCTTCTCGAAATACCAGCCAGCTGTCTGGCGTGTGCACGGCAGCAGGTGGAGGGGGAGCAGGAAGGGAGGGAGGGAGGGAGTAAAAGGAGATGAGGAGGGAGGAGGGAGGGAGAAAAGGTGGGTGGAAGGAAGGGAGGAAGGGCAGGGAGGTAAGGAAGAGGGGTAGGAGGTAGAGGGAAGGAAGGAGGGGGAGGGGGAGAAAGAGAGAACGATAAACGAATGAGTGAGGGAGGGTGGGTGGGAAGGAGAGAGAGTGGGAGGGAGGGAGGGAGTGAGGGAGGGTGGGTGGGAAGGAGAGAGAGTGGGAGGGAGGAGGGAGGGAGGGGTGGGATGGAGGGTGGGAGAGAGAAATTATCTTGTACACATGTAATGAATACACTCTATTAAGTGTGAGGTGTATTACACAGACGGGTACACCCACGGACATACAGGGTGTCCCATAAGTATAGTAAACCCATCTGATGAATTTGGGACACCCTGTGTATTCATGTGTGTACGTGTATTTGTCCGTTTATGATCTGTTTTTCGATGTAGAACTCGCTAACACACACACATACATAACGAACGGACATCATCATCATCATCATCATCATCATCATCACCACCATCACCATCACCACCTTCATCACCACCATCATCATCACCACCTTCATCATCATCATCATCATCATCATCATCATCATCATCACCACCTTCATCATCATCATCATCATCACCACCTTCATCACCACCATCACCACCATCATCACTATCATCACCACCTTCATCATCACCATCACCACCTTCATCACCACCATCACCATCACCACCTTCATCATCATCATCATCATCATCACCACCTTCATCACCACCATCACCACCATCATCACCACCATCACCACCATCATCATCATCATCTTCATCATCATCATCATCATCACCATCATCATCATCTTCAACATCATCATCATCTTCATCATCATCCTCATCATCATCTTCATCATCATCATCACCATCATCATCCTCATCATCATCATCACCACCATCACCATCATCACCATCACCACACCACCATCATCATCATCACCACATCACCATCATCACCATCACCACCACCATCATCATCATCTACACCATCACCATCACCACCTTCATCATCATCATCATCATCATCATCATCATCACCTTCATCACCACCATCACCACCATCATCACCACCATCACCACCACCACCACCATCATAATCATCATCACCATCATCACCACCATCATCACCACCATCACCACCACCACCACCATCATAATCATCATCACCATCATCATCATCATCATCATCACCACCATCACCATCACTACCTTCATCATCACCATCACATTAATCGGAAAAACAAAACAAATTGTTCTGTTCACAAAACTATAAAACTCAATCAATCAATTTGTCAATCAACCAATCAATGAAATTTGAAATACCAATCAATCACAATATTCATTTTCTTCGGCGTATTCAGCGTATCCTCGTAGCGTATATTGGCGTATCTTCCTGACATATTCTGACGTATTTTAAGCGTAATTTTCCAGGAATATTTTTAAACGTATTCTACAGGCGAATTTTAATGGCGTATTTTTCGGGCGTATTTTCAAAGCGTATTTTGGCGTATCTTCTTGGCGTATTATGCGTATTCTCCAAGCTTATTTTAGCGTAATATCCAAGTGCATTTTGCATATTCTCCAGCCGTACTCTTTGCCGTAATCTCCAAGCGTATTATTATGACGTATTTTCCAGGCGTATTTTCCAGGCGTATCTTGGCGTATTCTCCCGGGAGGCAACACAGCCGCGGGTCAGCACACACGATACTCAGCAACTCTCGATCATGTCTCGCGTTACAGCTAGCAATAAAGGGAAAAAATATTATCCAGTGAATAGTTTCCCCCCCTCACTCTCTCCCTCCCTCCCCCCCCCTTTATCTCTCTCTATTTCTCTCTCCCTCCATCTCTCCTTTTCTCTCCCCCCTCTCTTCTCTCTCTATCCCTCTCCCTCTTTTCTTTTTTCCCCTCCTTTCTCTTTATCTCCCCTCGTATCTTCCCTCTTTATCTTTCTCTCTCTTTTCCCTCCCCTCTCTCTCTCTCTCTCTCTTTCCTTCATAGCAATTTCGTTCACTTTCTCTCTCAATTCGTCCCTCTCCCCTCTTTCCTTCCTTCCTTCCTTCCTTCCTTCTACCCTCCATCCCTCTTCTACCCTCTTCCTTCCTCTCTCCATCCTTCCATTTCTCCTATTCTCCCTCCTCCTTCCTCCCTCTTTCCCTTTTCTCCATCCCTCCTATCAGCCCTCCCTCCTTCCCTCCCTCCCTCCTCCCTCCCTCCCTCCTCCTCCCTCCTCCCTCCTCCCTCAACTCCTGCCTGAGGGTCCCAGAGGTCACCTGATCCTGTGTTGGCTTTTAAACAATCGATCAGGTTACTGATTATTTAATTAAGATTATGGCGGAAACTGTACTGGGGTGGGTAGGAGTGGAGGGAGGGAGGGTAGGAGTGGAGGGAGGGAGGGTAGGAGTGGAGGGAGGGAGGGAGGGTAGGAAAGGAGGGGCGGAGGGAGGGACGATTGGAGGGAAGGATGGAGGGAGGGGATGAGGGAAGGAGGATAAGTCAGGAGGGAGGGTAGGAATGGAGGGGTGAGGGAGGGTAGGAGATGAGAGGTATAGGGAGGGAAGGAAGAAAAGGAAGGTAAGAGGACGGGAAGGAGGGAAGGAA